ATAATAAAAAATATTTTTTTCGGTTTAATATTTTTAACAATAAAAAGAATAAAATAATTTCTTTTTTTTTTTTATTTACAAAAGAATATTTTTAAAATTATTAATATTAGTCAAAAATATAACGATAAAAAAATTTTTTTTATACGCTCTACGCTAATGTTACATTATTGTTATCTTTCCGATATTCTCGTGTAACCTTGCGCAAAAAAGGCCAAATTTAACATAAATTGAAGCGAATCAAATCTGATTTTCAATACTTTACCGCGTGACCGTGATCATTACCAGCCCAGCAAATATCTAGATTAGACAAAATTATTTCTACTTGCTAAATCATAAGCTCTCTTATCATTTATTCGGCTTTCAGGTAAATTGTCATAGTCTTTTTCCGAAATACTTTCAATAATGATATCAACTAGTAATCTCTTTTTACTTAGCTAGTAAAGTCTTGATGTCCGTAAACCTCTTTTTTTTTCAAATAGACAGACCAATTTAATCATAGGTGATTGTTTGATTATTAGGCTCATCTCCTATATTAACGATCTTAATGCAAATCTTTTTTAATATTTCTTGTAACAAATGCTTTATATCTATTGCAAGAGTCTTTGAACATTGCATACCGATGTTTCAGGATCATATTCCAATATGAAAGAGTTACAGAAGAAATTGTGATTTATAGACGATTCTAAATCTTACCATGCAAGATGGTTGGGTAGTAAAGTAACTTGGATGTCTCAAAAAAGTATTTTCAGAAAATAAGTTTAGAGTTCGATCTTTTTCTCGATCCCAATCTTTTTCTTATACTCTGGATGAATTATATGGTCTCTTCATCTGTGATCGAGTGATCCTCAACAGGTAATGGAACAGATGATTTTGAAGTTACTTGCATTATTGAATCATTTGGGTGTAGTTGTGCTGGCTTGTACTGAAACTTCAATTTCCTGATTTCATACTTTTCTTTGTAACTCTCTAATTTGAAAGAATGCCTGTTTTAATTTGCAATTTTCGGTCTTAACCTCGGCATTCTCACCATCTTTTGTCTCAATAAATCTAATTCGGACTGTATTTAACTATTTTATGTACATGTAATATTAAGCAAGCAATAAAGTTATACTCCACGTGACCAAAGGCACGCGCTCACATTAGTTTGCCAAAAGCTGTATGCGTAGTCTGAAGAAACCAACTTATAAAATTTTGTTTCTCGGTGTACAGCCAACGTCACTATAAACAATTATTATCGATATAGCAGTTTTGTTGTTTAAGCTCAGACGTTATACGATAATCTCAGCACGTGACTGAAACATCAGGTCAATTACTAAATCACGTCGTTTCGACTTGCCAATGGTTCCCACAAAATTCACTTCAACAATACCTGCTTTTCCACGGTTTCTAGGGTATTATACTTGTCGGTATACAACATCTCTTTCCAGAGGGACAATTCCTCATATTCCTAACTATGGCACGTCCTTACTCAATGTCGAAGACGACGCAAAATCTTGTTTATACTTTAATGTTTTAGCTAATATCCATGACAAGGAATATTTTTGGGACATCCACCAGATTTTTGGATTTTTCTGACCCGCCATAATCTTAAATTTATGTGTCTATAATTTCTGGCAAATTTATCGATAAGCAAACCGGTGTTAAATAACGGTGTTAGACCTGGTATCGTTTCAAAACCAAGCTAACAAAATCTAATAAACTTAATAACACAATTATCTCACAGGCCTTTCCTGAGAGAAATTAACGATTCGATTAACAAACGAAACAATTTAATATCACGATTCACTTGTGTAGCAGGGTTGGACCAATAACCAAATCACTAAATAAATTATTAAGTTTATTCATCATTGACTATTGGTTTATTGGCTCTTTTCAATAAACCATAAATATATTATTGAAGTTTATTTGATTGTATCACGTGATTTGCATTTATTTTCTAAAATCGAAACTTAAAATTTTATTAAAAAAAAATATTTTTTATTATATTAAAATATAAACTAAATTAATACTATTGATATACTATTATTAGTTATTGATATTATTATTATTAATAAAAT